AGCTACTGCGAGCTTGCACGCTAGCTAGTGCAGCACCAACATTTAGTTTTGGGCTAGTCCCGATGCGTAGGCCGACTCGGCCAAATGTTGTGTGGTTTGGTAAAATTGACGCGCGAAGTGACAAATAATGTCAATAATTAATGGCTGAAGAATGGTTGAGTGTTTTACGCTTTATGCAGGTGCGCAGTTTGGAAGTCTAAAGAAATTCGTACACATTTTTTCTCAACTTTCATTGAATGTGCGTTTGCAAGGAACGGAGGAATTGCACATATGAATGAACACCCTTGTTGGTCGAGACTTTTTTCATAGCGTGTCCTGCGCGTACGGTTAGAGTACATTTATGGTTCATATACCATGGTGCAAAACGACATCAGAAGGCGCATAGCAATTTCTATTTCTCACCATTTCTCACCGTGATGCAGTACGGTCCAACCGCACAGGATATGCTATAAATGTACGCGCTGAACACGCCGTGAACATTCATTTACAAATAATCCAGTATAAGATCCCACCCTAATAATTTCACTCATCACGAGCTTTTGCCTCCTATTCCAATGTATAGCATCGTCTATATGATCCATTTGTGAGTCAGAATGTTGTAAAGACAGACTTAATCCACTGTTCGATGCACGAATCATATGAGGTTCCCAAAGATTGTCGTTTAAATGAACGATCCCAACATACTAAAAAAACCGAACATTCCTCTCTATCGCATTTCTTACATGTCTATCCTAAATGACCCCGAACATTCTCTAAGAATTTGGCAGATATTGCATTACACTGCCCGGCCGGGAAACGATATTTATTAAGGATATCATTATGTTTGCCTAGAAAACATGGTTTTTTAACCAGGCTCAAGCTGCGGTGGTTTTGATTAGGACTCAAAGTCGAAACACGTGTTTCTTGTGTATGCTGCGATCGCAGGGCGAAAGGAAATTATGATGGAAGTAACAAATATGCCCATTTTATCACGTTTGGTTACATGAGTATTACGGACAGTCACAGTACAGTTCATGTCTATCGCGTGTGATCACAACGCTATCACGGATAGTCATACATTGTCCCGTAATGTTATCAAGTTTGATCATTCAATGAAACGATCACTAAATTGAAACTAAAAAAATTACTGCACATATTTTGGGAAAGTTAGCCTCAGCGCAATTTTGTACGTATTGAAAAGCCCGTGAACTCGTTAGTGTCGTTTTCCTAAAATCCATGCCCAACCTTGCCACGTTTGACAGTTTGCGTCTCCCAGCTTTGATTGTTTATTACCTCGTAAATAACTCTCACGTAATATCTAGAAAAAAAATCCCCTATAGGATGGCATGCCCTTTGGGAGGCATCAACCCTAAACCCTTAGGGTTGATGCCTCCCGAAGGAAATCCCATCCGAAGTCCTAGATATCACGCAAGATTATGTGCGATGTAACAAGGAATCAAATCCGGGAGACGCAAACAGTCAAATGAGCATGCGGAATTGGTTCCAATATATATATATATATATATATATATATATATATATATATATTAATAAATAACAAGGTTTCGCACTACTTGGGACAAAAATACGCGCGCGAGAGAGCTTCCTCTGAATCCGAGCAGCTACTTGGGGTAGTTTCAGTTTCCGATCGAGCGTTTCATTTGTGAGAAAATCTGATAGATTTGCGGGGCAAGGTGTGACTATCCATGATATTTTTTTTTTTTTTTGCTTTAAGGAGATCCCAGGAGGAAACCAGGCCCCCATTTGCAAGGAGGGGAGGCGCTTCGAGTACGAGCAGAACGTTATACTCGGCTATCCGTGATAGTGGTGTGATCATCTGCGATAGATTTCCTACGTACTGTGACCGTTCGGGATACTAAAGTGACGGTCCTTGTCAAATAGGCCATATATGTGACCAGCTATATAATTCCCCTTAAAGGAGCGCCAACATGTCCCTCCAGGCACTCGAGATGGCAGGGTCCGGGTTTTCTGGATGCTATGTTTGGCAGCAGGTGATACAGTATTTGTCCAGAGTGAGATTCTGCTGAAGCAGCCACCCAGTGCATTCTGTTCATAGGGAGTTCCCATGATGTACATACTGTATCTGTCGTTTCTGTAAGTGATGGTGATGTGAACTGTGCTGTGGACCACGAGAGACAAGGTTGATGGAGAATCCGTGGTAGGTAGACCAAGGTTGGCTTTTCTTGGCTTCTCTCTCTGTTGATGGAGAATCCGAGTCACAGACACACCCAATTTCCAACCAATGCTCAAACCTACAGTATAGTTGTTTTGTAACTTGGCGGCGAATGCCGCTCAGGAAGTCAGAGGACAAACGTTTGAGATCCTTTTGTGGAAACAGGCAATGATGATCTGATGTACTGTATGAGGGTATTCGCAGCATTCACTCTCTTATTTGCTGAGTACCCTGGAGTTTTAGGCGAAGTCACTGAGCGTGCTGGAAACCAGATGGATGTGCAGCGGGAACTGCGGGAAGTTACGGAAAAACCCAGTGCAGCGAAGCAACGCAAAATGCAACCTTTGTTCTTTGAAATTTTGTTGAAGTTCGAACTCAAACCGCTTTGCACCGTTGCGAAAATCTATCAGTTGTATCCTACCGTGTAGAACCTTTCTAAAAGTTCGAACTTTGGGAAGTTCGAAAAAATATCACACGCGCCCTGAAAACTTTTGAGAACATAGATCTTGAGGTCAACCGTCGAGTGATACAGTACTACTGAAGTGCTTTTTTTTTACCACACCCCCATCTAGTGTCACCAACTCTTTACTGTGTTCCCCTGTCCCCACCATCACCCCACCTCTCGCTGGCTCTGTGGCTTGTTTAAAAACAAAGAGGAAATAAAAACGTTGAGAGCGAATTCTTAGGGTTTTTTCAAGGATTTGGTTTTGTTTAGAAACACCCAGTCGCAATAGCGGAAACTACTACCCTGCATTTTCTTGAGTATGCCGCACAGTAGCGAATGATGAAATTTTGTCACAAGTTGTTTTGGCGGGTGCTCCAAAACACCTCTAGTCACGCGTCACCACATGTGTGGTTCGCAATTGGGCCACAATTCCGCACCAAGGACAATTCAATTGGCACGACAATTCAATTCTCCACTGTATATTGGAAGCTCATCGTTTCTGCGCCCCGGGGATTCAAATTAGCGACAACACTGTGCTTTGCGCATGTATTTTCGTGCATTAGGCTCTCAATTCTGAACCGACGCTGTGCTCCTGAAAAGGGTCGTGAAATATGTGGGGTAACTTGGGCCTGCTGTATACGCCGATTTTCCCAGCCAAAGTGTAGTTCTTGGCGGCCTGTGAAGTTTGGGCCATGCCCGACCTGCTCAAACAAGACCTATCCTGAACAATCCCCTTGGCCTGTTCAGGCTGGGCCTTTTTGTGAGCGTCAAGTGTAACAGTTCCCGATCAACTGAAACCACAAAATAGTTGTTCGGTTGCGCTTCTAACCATAATACACCTGGTGCGCACTGAACTGCATCTTGAAACAAAGGCGTTCGATAGGAGAAGCCCATGGACAATTGCCCAACCAGAATGCAGTTGGTATCGAACATTAATAACCTCAGTAAAGAGCATGGCATATCACAAATATTCAGTTTAGTGTTGTAAAAAAAAGAATATTCAGCTGTAACATATTACAGGATTTACATGTCCATTTTGGTCTTGGAGCGAGCGCGAAAGAGGAGCGACATCACAAAACGAAACTTTGTGCAAAAACGGTATTTAGTGTATTCACTCCGTCCGAACCCTTCATTCCGTGAACCTTTTCATTTCCCCCCTGTTATCTCGAACCTTTCGTAACAGAAAACCGGAGTCTGAGGAGCCTATCTCTAACACGCGACCCCACATCATTTTCCGTGCTATCAGATTTCAGACTCCCTGTTCAGACCCCACATCATATTCCGTGCTAGTAGTCCACAATGTCGGACTTCACCGTTCAGGCTGACGTTTCTCCTGATACAAATATGAGCGCTCTCAGCAGTGCTGACCATCGCCTCAGCACAGATAGCAGGCTGCCAGCAGCAGCTGTGAACGGAGACGGCTACACGTGGCTCAAGTATGGCAATAAACACGTCGGGAATCACGTCAGGTGCGGAAGCTTTCTCGCACTATTAGAGGAAATCTCACGATTGCTCCTGTTGATTTTACTTCAAGTTGAAGTCGCTCACCCTCAAGACTGCCTCTCCCGAAACTGGCCCATCGATGCGTTTGCGTTCACGTAAGAATTTCACTCTTAATAACACCACACTTTTTCCTCATTTCCTACTAACAGGTTCCAGGACAACATGTGCATTTGGTTCAACATCTCCAGATTCTTAAGTACCTTCCTTCCTACAGTGCACTCCATACCCCTCACACATTTTTCTTTAATATGTGTACCCACAGGAGCTACAAGTGCAGGTGCGCGTGGTCTTCGACTGATGCTAAACATCATTCTCACATGCCATCCCATCTCATGTGTCTCTTTTATTTCCAAATCCCCACATGCAGGTGCTACTACAGGTGCGCCTGGTCCAAGAGCCCAAGACCCTGCCCTGCGAGAAAAACCATTGACTTCGCCGCTGCATGCCCTTCTGGTATTACTACCTCCATTAGCACTCACCTCCCAGCAGCTAACGCCAACGAGTTAAGCAACAGCAGTGCAATATCGCATGACATAGTAGTACCTGCCAAGGACCGACCCAAAGTAACTGCCAGCAGTGCCGCCGTCTCCCACACATACCCAAACTGCCGCCCAGCCTCAGAACGCCACTCGGTATCAGCCTGCGAAGATCTCACAATCACATACCACAATGATCACAACCACCAGGAGCGCGGGCATCCTCCACGCCGCCACAAGCGGCAAAAAGCTCGGCTTGAGAAGGCGGCAGCAGCGGCAGCGGCGGCAGCGGCGGCAGCGGCAGCTGGGTCAGCAGCCATTAAGCTGGTCAAAGCCAGGACACTTTCTCCAAGGCTCGCGAAGATTCTTGCCAAGGCCCAAGAGAATGGGCTTTGGCTGGGTGCTACTGAAGAAGAAGATGCTTCACATGCACCTTCACATGCACCTTCACATGCCCCTTCACATGACCCTTCACATGCACCTTCACATGTCCCTTCACATGACCCTTCATATGCACCTTCACATGCCCCTTCACATAACCCTTCACATGCACCTTCACATGTCTCTTCACATGCCCCTTCACATGCCCCTTCACATGACCCTTCACATGCCCCTTCACATGCCCCTTCACGTGCCTCTTCACATGCCCTTTCACATGCCCCTGCACATGTCCCTTCACATGGACCATCACATGGCCCTTCACATGTCCCTTCACATGCGCCTTCACATGCCTCTCTGCCCACCTCAGCAAGTTCTCCAGATGCCTATACGCACGCCCCTCTGCCCACCCCTCCAAACACTCCTGCACATGGCGAACACACCTCTCCACTCGCCCCCCCACGCAACCTTCCGAGTCTGTTCAGTCCGGATTCCTTCAGCTCGCACTCTTGCAGATCCAGCAACAGCGGTGGGCAGCAGTTATTCCTGGCAGGGCCGCGTGTGGCCACACATGCAGCGGATTTGCAAACATTTTCTGGAAAACGTCTGAAGATCAACCCGCTCACTAGAAGTTGCAGCGACGAAGCTCTTCAGCAATTGCTTACAGCAGGGGCATGTGTGGCTGCATGCGCTGTGGATTTTCAACCATTCTCTGGAAACGATATGAAGATCAGCTCTCTCTATGGCATATGCAGCAATGGAGGTGCACAAAAATCGCTCCTGGCAGGGCTGTGTGAGGCCGCACACGCTGCAGTGACAACAGAACAGCAGGCGACCGAACTTCGAAGGTGGGCAGATAAGCCGCAGCTGCTTGGTATGTTGCCTCCGACGGTCACTGTGTTGGGCCTTGTCGGATCTTGTCAGGGCAGGAGCAAAAGTGATGGCTCGTTGCCACAGCATGAGCAGTGGCAGCAGCAACAACGACAACAACAGCCGCAGCAGCGGCAGCAGGTGCACCACCCTGTATTTGATGTGCTCGGTGGAGGCAACAGCATGAGCGTTTATGACTTTATAGAGTGAAGCGATGCAGTAGTGTAGATCATACTTGTGGAGCCATTAGGAAGCAATGTATTGCCATGGATATGTAGCAGAAACATGGAATATAGCATATTTTGGTGTTTAACAGCGAGTAATTCACTTGCAAATGCCAATTTGCTCTGTAAGTGGAGAGATAGGGAGAGAGAGAGAGAGAGAGAGAGAGAGAGAGAGAGAGAGAGAGAGAGAGAGAGAGAGAGAGAGAGAGAGAGAAATAGAGAGAGAGAACCTGCCACTATGCCAACCTGCCTGACACAGTCACCTTCATCCCCCTGGCAGTTGAGACATACGGCTGCCCTTGTGCCGAAGTCCCCAAGTTCCTGAAATTGCTGGCGGACACAGCTGCTAGGCGCCAATTTAACGCCTTACCAACCTCCTACCATGCAGCTCGGTTCCTCCACCTCTTCAGGCAGCGATGGTCGGTGGCTCTCCAACGTGCACAATCCGTGGGATACCTAATGAAGTCCTGCCAGGCGGTGGTGGTTGAGAGCCCACCAGTGGGAGGGGTGCAGTCCGAGCTTCACCTGGGGGATAGTTGTGTGGTGTTGGAACCTCTAATGGAGGTGTAGAGAGGCAGTAGGTGTAGGTAGTTGGTGGTTGCCTGCTTATTCCTCAACATGGATTCCATACTTTGCATACTTGTTTAGAGAGAGAGAGAGAGAGAGAGAGAGAGAGAGAGAGAGAGAGAGAGGCATAGATAAAGTTAGATAGATAGAGAGAGGCATCTCTCATGGAGATGTAGAAAGGCACTATGTGTAGCTAGATAGTTGTTTGTTTATTGCTAGTCCTAGACTCTATACTTTGCAAGTTTGTACTTTCCACTCTATCAATACACGGACCATTAGAGAGAGAGAGAGAGAGAGAGAGAGAGAGAGAGAGAGAGAGAGAGAGAGAGAGAGAGAGAGAGAGAGAGAGAGAGAGGGAGAGAGAGAGAGAGAGAGAGAGAGAGAGAGAGAGAGAGAGCGAGAGAGAGAGAGAGAGAGAGAGAGAGAGAGAGAGAAAGAGAGAGGCATAGGGACTAGCCCTTAGCCTCTCCTGCCCCTTCCTCCCTAGTATAAAGCCCTTAGCCGCTTGCCTAGTGCCTCATTCTTCATTTGATTGTTCAGAATTACTCCCCTAACCTGGCGGCTATGGTGAGAGAGAGAGAGAGAGAGAGAGATAGAGAGAGAGAGAGAGAGAGAGTGTGTGTGAGAGAGAGAGAGAGAGAGAGAGAGAGAGAGAGAGAGAGAGAGAGACGCATAGGAACTAGCCCTTAGCCTCTCCTGCCCCTTCCTCCCTGGTATAAAGCCCTTAGCCGCCTGCCTGTTGCCTCATTCTTCATTTGGTTGTTCATGTTTACTCTCCTAGCCCGGCGGCTCGCGCCGACCAACTTCGGCGGCCGATGCTCGACGGCGCGGCCTTCGGCTACGCGTTAGGGAACGACAAGCAGATCTCAAACAAGAAGATCTTATACACCAACAGCATACACACAAGGCAGCGGGGAACTAGCTACTAGGGACTCCCATGGAGCAAGAGGAGGCCGTAGCTACATCTGATCTGCGTCGAAAACTGCAAGAAGCCCCATAAGAGTCCGATGCAGCTCCCGCACACCAACGTGCTTGCGGAGATCGCGTCGGCTCCACTCCTTCCGCGCAAATACTGCCACAAGCCTCGGACAGCAGTGCCAAGCTGCCCAACCGCCACAACTCCACCTCTCGCGGGCGCTGCCAACCCGGGCGCCAGGAGCTACGCGAGCTGATCGGCCACATCAAGGCATTCGTCTTGAGGCCCACCCTCCAGCGTATTCCCGTGGGAAAGGGATGCAAAGGCATATACCTGGATCAGAAGGATTGCCCACAGGCTCTCAGAGAGCCACAACAACTGCCCCAGAGTCGCCTCTGGGACGGGCGCCTGTCGGAGGGGAGTCACCAATTCCTAGAACGGCTGCGAATCTCCAGCAGCCTGAGGAGTAGGGTCGGCAGGTAGGAGTGGCGGATAATGCGTCGTCACCGCTCCTCCTACCCCAGTCACGAATTCCACGCCCACTAGAGGAGGAATGCAAGGCATGCGTAGATCCACGCACACCGACTCCCCCCCGATGCGCAGCGCCGGAGTAGGCGGGGCCACAGGCGGGGGAACAACAGCCGGAGGAATTACAGGAGGGGAAGCGACGTTCGGTGGAGCCGTGGGAGGGGGAGCCGCCTGCTGCGAGCAAGAGTCCACAATCTCCTCAATGCCAGCACGCAACTGCTGAACCCCAGGCACACCCCTGTGACTGCGACCTCCCCTCCAGCCTCCACGACTAGCACGATACGGGGCACGATACATTGGCAAGGGGCGGCGCCGAGGCACTTCCTAGCATCGGCGCAAAGCTTCCCGCCCCTCGCGGCGCGCAGGAGATTCGGGGCGGGAATGGCGACGCTCAGGTGCGCGCTGATCCTTGAAACGCCGCCCAGTCGCCGGAGGTCCAATATGTCGGCGCTCAGGCTGTTAACGGGAGTTGTGTGTTGGCCCCGTCCTCGCTTGGGCGGAGCCGAATTCGTGGTCGGGTGTAGGGGTGCAGCCGACCTGCAGCAGTGGGCGAGCTGGTCGACGAGGAAGTCGACCTGCACGGGTGCCATTGCATGGGTGCCAACTTCAGGATGGCGCCGACTTCAGGAGGTCGACCTGAGAAGTCAACCTGTGGAGGGCGTCGACTTGGTGACGCCAACTTGGGGCAGCCGACTTGGGTGGTCGGCTGACAGGACTGCTGGTCGACCTGGTGGTTGGTCGACCAGGCGTGATGTCGACCTGGTGGTCGACCGAACATGGTGGTCGACGAAGGAGGGGCCGACGTCGACCTCGACAGAGGGATTCAGGACGCCGAGCAGCTGGGCGTCGAGTAGCAGGGCGTCAACTTGGTGACGCCGACTTCGGGTAGCCGACAACTGAGCTGGTCGACCAGGAGTGACGTCGACTTGGAGCTGGTCGACCAGGGGTAGTGGTCGACCTGGTGAGGTCGACTGGAGGTGGTCGTCGACTTGGGAGGTCGACGGGCACATACAGAAGCAGCTGGTCGACGTGGTTGCTCGGTCGACCAGGTTACCTGGGTGACGAGGTTCTGCGAAGGCACGCGACGGTCGCCCAGGCGATGTTGGCGAGGACGACCTCGGTGGTGGTATCCCGAGGTCGACGTGGCTGATCAGAAGCAGTCGTCAGCACGAAGTTGACCTGGTGTGTGCGCTGTGCAGGTGACGAGGCACTGCACGCCAATCATCTGCGAGCACCTGCGAAGCAGGTGCGCTGCTGTCCTGCGGGAGCAACGTTGGCACGCCGTCGACTTGCAGCATTGGCAAGCCGCGACTCTGCACTGCTGGAGCGCGGTCGACCAAGTCGTGCTGGCACGCGGTCGACCGTGCTGCGCTGGCAGTAGACTTACTTGCATGCTAGCTCTGATGTAGTCTACCTTCATTGTACCATTGTTGTCAACCTTTTCCTAGTGAAACTTTTGCCAATTCTCCCTGTGAACCAGCAAGTAGTGTGAGCACTTGGAAACGACTAAGGAACGACGAACGCAGAGATCACACGAGCATCCGTGCCTAGCCCGTAGTCTAGCTCCCGTTGTAGTAGTTATCTCCGCACAGGCATCTGGTGGCGAGAACTACGGCCAGCCCTCCCCCACCCTTCGTGCGCTGCACTCGCCGGGCTCTGGTCGGCGCTGGTGGCTAGAAGCGGCATGTAAGACGGGTCAGCAGCAGAAGGCGACACAGCGAGCGCAGTTTGTCGTGGCACGGCGGACGCGTGAACATGTTTCACACCTGTTGGGTCAGACGACACCACGGCAGGCACAGGCAGGCCCGCCGCCGGGGCCACAGGTACGGACACCCCAACGAGTGCCGGGGGTGGCGCCTCAGCACGCGCAAGAGGAGGTGCAGGACCAGGGGCCGCAACAAGCGCAGTGGTAGACACTGGAGCCGACGTGGGAGCTGACGATACAACAGGCGCGTGAGCAGACACAGCAGCAGATGCACGAACGGATGCCGCAGTGGGTGGAGGAGCAGACACAAGGGCAGATGCTGGAGCAGACGCGGCAGCAGACGCAGGCGATGGGATCGCCGGCACAGCAGGAGGTGGCGTCACAACGGGCACAGACGGAGGCGGAATGACAGACGCCGCTACTTGAGCAGTAGGCGCAGGCGATGAAACCACAGCAGGAGGAGGAACAGGCGCCGCATAACGAGCCATGTCTGTTGTCCCCGCTACAGCTACCGCTGGAGACGGTCCAGCCAGGAGAACGGGTGCAGTTGATGCCACGACAATGGCCAGTGGCGAATACGACGCCTCATCGCCAATCGCCACAGGCATCACGCAGCAGACGGGGGGGGGGGGTGTCAGAATGCTATTATTGTCTAGCCTGCAGTGGGGTACTCTATAGCGAGTACAGCCCAATCTAGGGTTTGCTATTTGTACTCAACTGCCTGCTAGTTCAAACCCCTCCTCTCCTTTCAATCATTCTTGCTTAGTCCTGTCAACATGCTATCAGAGCAGGTCGACCCTCCTGGGTCGATCCTGTGGGTGGGCCCACCACCTAAGCCTTCCGCTGCTACTGCTACTGCTACTGCTACTCCCTGTCCGCCGCGCGCCCCGTGGCGCGCGGCGTCGAAACTAGGGTTTTCAGCCCGCCGTGCGCCCCGAGGCACGCGGCGGTTTTCTGCCCGCCGTGCGCCCCGAGGCGCGCGGCGGTTCTCTGCCCGCCGTGTGCCCCGAGGCGCGCGGCGGGTTCCTGCCCCGTCACTCGGCACGTCGCCCCCGGGAGGCGCTGCGACGGGCGACGGGGACCCGCGCGTCGCCCCCCGTCGCCCGTCGTGGCCTGCGCGCGGCCCGTACACCCGGCACGCGGCCCGTACGGGCTGCGCCAGGCACGCGCGCGGCCCGTACGGGAAGCGCCAGGCCCGCGCGCGGCTCGGGCCGCCTGCGCGCGGTTCGGGCGGCTCTACCAGGCCCGTGGGCGGCCCGTTCCTCGCTGCTCCTGCCCTCTCCACTGTCCCCCGTGCTTCTACCGGCGCCTCACCCCTCCTACAGCCCGTTCTCCTAAATTAGGGTTTGGGGGTGAAGAGTGTGGGGGTGGCGGCTATGGGGGTGTCGGTTGTGAGTTCCTCCCCCTGCTCCTCCTCCTCCCTCGTCTCCCTCTGCTACAGCTGCCGCTGAGGGGGGTGGTGTGTGGGAGCCTAGGGTTTGGGGTTTAAGGGGGGTACCGTCGGAGTGGAGCTAGGGTGTCAGCAGGGGGTGTGTGAGAGGGGCGTGGGACGGTCGGGGGAGATTGCGTGGAGGTAGCCGTCGTGACGCCAGCAGCGCCAGTAGTCCGGATGCCCTCGCGCGGTTCGGTACGCCGCTCACCAGCTGAACCTCTGGCCTCGCGTCTCTCGGCCAGGGGCTTCACCGACCAGTCTTTGGACAGGGTCCCCTGGTGTTGCGTCGAGGTTTAGTGTCTGGGGCTGCTTGGCTCTTGTCCGCGACACCTCTGCGGACAAGATCTCACCTCGCGCCGTCCCCTGTGTCTTCCTTGGTTTCCCAGAGGGCTCCTCTGACTTCACCTTTTACCACCCTCCCTCCCACCGGTTCTTTGACTCTCGTGACGTCCGTTTCGACGAGTCCGTCCCCTACTACGTCCGGTACCCCTGTCGAGGTCTCCCGGTTCCCCCCCCTCCCCTCTTCCTGGCCCCAGCTCCTCCTCCTCTTGCCCCTGCTCCTCCGGTACCGACCCCTGTTCCCGCTCCGTCTGGTGTGTCCCACGCTACTCCCCCCCCCTCGGTACCCCCCCAGGTCTCTCCTCCTTCCCCACAGTCGTCCTCACAGCCTCCGCAGCAGCCGCCGGCGCTTCCTTTACCAGCCACTGCGGAATCTGAGGATGTTGGTGCTCGAGGTGAGGGACCTGGCGGTGCTCGCTCTGAGGGTGCTGGTGTTGCAGCTGTTCGTGCACCTACAGGAGCCGCCCGTTCTGGGGGTGTTGGCGTTGGCGCTGAGCGTGCACCTGCCGCAGCTGCCCGTTCCGAGGGTACTGGAGCTCGTGGTGGTGCTGGAGCTGGTGGTGTTTCTGGAGCCGGAGAGCCTGGGGCTGGTGCTGGTGCCACTGGAGGCACCACGACTGGGGGTGCGGGTACACCTCCTACTGGTGCAGGTCGTGCTGCCGCAGGAGGTACTCCCTCTGGGGGTGCTCAGACGGGTACTGTCAAGGGCGGAGCCGGTTCTTCTTCTTCTTCTTCGTCTCCTGACACCACTCCTCCTCCTCACCCCTACCCGACTCGTTACCAGGCCCTTCTTCGTCTAGAGCGTGAGGAGCAGCAGCGTTTGGAGCGTGAGAGGTCGGAGGTTCAGCAGCGGGTGGAGCGTGAGAGGTTGGAGTTGCAGCGGGAGCAGCAGCAGCAGCAGCAGCAGCCGCCGCCGCCGCCGCAGCAGCAGCAGCAGCAGCAGCAGCAGCAGCAGCCGGAGCAGCCTCCGGCCCCTGTTTCTGGCCTTCGGGCCCTTGGTCTCCCCTCCTCTCCTCCTGTGTTCGGTCCTACGTTTCCTCCTCCGGACTCAGCTCCGGCTGTGTTCCCTCGTTCTCAGTCTCCTCCGTCTCCCCCTCCTCTCGCCCACACTTGGGCCTCTCGTCCTCCTCGTGCTCGTCCCTCGTCACATGTCAGTGACCTCCGTACCGTGTTGTTTCGTCCTAGTCCTCCTCGTTCTCCTCCGTCTGTCCTTCCTCGTCCTCCTGAGTCTTCCCTCACTGCCTCCCTGTCCACTCCGGTCACTGACTACTACCGCACGTACCGCCCCACTCTCTCTCGTGTTCTCGCCTCTCTTGTTACAGACCCTCGTGCCTCTCCTTCCTCCGTCGCGGTCCTCACTGCCGCTGTCACTGACTTTACTGCTACGCGTCGCCTTGACTACGCCACTCGTGTTGTGGCCGCTCCTCCTGTCCGTCCTCTGTCCGCCGGGGGTGAGTCTGCCCTTGGCTGTGACGTCCTAGAGGACAGACAGTTTGAGCTAGAGTTCCTGGCAGCTGCTTCGCCTCATCTCTGTGCCATGCTCCTCACTCCTGAGGGAGACCCCGATGCTCCTGACATACCTACTCCTCGCACTTACGCTGAGGCAGTGTCAGGGCCTTGGGCCTCTCATGGAGAGCTGCCATCGACGCAAAGATGGCCTCCTACAGGTCCACAGGCACTTACGTTGACGAGGTTCCCCCCCCAGGGGCGAACATCGTTGACGGCATGTGGATCTTCAAGGTGAAGCGGCCGCCGGGATCTCCCCCAGTCTTCAAGGCACGCTACGTGGCTAGAGGGTTCAGTCAGCGTGAGGGAGTTGACTTCTTTCAGACCTTCGCGCCCACCCCGAAGATGACTACTCTTCGGGTGTTACTGCACGTAGCAGCGCAGAGAGACTACGAGCTACACTCTCTTGACTTCTCCACTGCCTTCCTCCAGGGCCGCCTACACGAGGAGATCTGGCTGCGTCGTCCTCCGGGCTTCACTGGCACTTTCCCGCCTGGGACCCAGTGGAGCCTCAGACGACCGGTCTACGGTCTCCGCCAGGCACCCCGTGAGTGGCACGACACTCTCCGCTCTACTCTGTCCGACCTCGGGTTTGAGCCGTCTTCCGCCGACCCGTCGCTGTTTGTTCGTCGTGGGCGCACACCTTTCTTCGTTCTCGTCTACGTTGACGACCTGGTTTTTGCCACAGCCGACACAGTTGCACTGGCAGAGGTGAAGTCCGAACTGCAGAAGAGACACACCTGCACTGACCTTGGGGAACTGCGCCGCTACCTTGGCCTGCAGATCTCCAGGGACAGAGCCGCTCGCACCATCACTCTGACCCAGTCACACATGGTGTAGCAGGTCCTTCAGCGGTTCGGGCTTCAGCACTCTTCTCCTACACCCACCCCTCTTGCTGTAGACCACAGACTCACTGGGCCTTTTCCTGACGAGCCGTTCGAGCCCAGTGGTCCCTATGCAGAGCTGGTGGGCTGCCTCATGTACCTGATGACGTGTACTCGCCCGGACCTCGCCTTCCCTCTTAGCATCCTTTCTCGCTTTGTTGCGACTGGGAGACACCGTCCTGTTCACTGGGCGGCTTCTAAGAGGGTGGCGAAGTACCTCGGCGCGACATCAGACATGGGGCTTGTACTTGGAGGGACACAGCCAGTTGTACTCACCGGTCACTGCGACTCCTCCTACGCCGACGACGTTGAGACTCAGAGGTCTACGCAGGGTTACTGTTTCAGCCTGGGCTCTGGAGCTGTTTCGTGGAGGTCTACTCGGTCCTCCTCTGTTGCGACTTCTACCGCAGAGGCCGAGATCTACGCTGGAGCCCTTGCTGCACAGGAGCTACGCTGGTTGACCTTTTTGCTCACTGACCTTGGTGAGCGGCCGAGCTCTGCACCGACCTTGTTTGCTGACAACAAGGCGATGATTCTCCTGTGTCGTGAGCCTCGACTGGAGAGCAGAGTGAAGCACATCGACGTCAGGTACTTCCTCCTTCGAGAGTTGCAGAGACGCGGACAGGCACGTCTGGACTTCGTGGCCTCCGAGGCCAACACTGCAGACATCTTCACCAAGGCCCTTCAGCCTTGTGACCACCGCCGGTTTTGTCTGCAGTTAGGCCTCGTTGAGACTGGGTCTAGTAGACTGCAGTATTGAGTTTTTGCCTCTTGTTTGTTTGTACTATATATATTAGCTTGTACACTCTTGAACTGGCCTTGTGGCCTCTTGCTTGTGCTCAGACTGTGTGGTGACGTTGTGATCCACCCTGAGCTCTGTTTGCTCTCTTGCTTGTGACTGGTCTTGTGACCTTAGGTTGTGTTTTGTTGCTTGGCATTCCCCACTTAGGCTATGGGGGTGTGTCAAATGTTATAGCCTCTAGTGAGTTATACTATAAGGGGTACAAACAGTTAGGGTTAGGCATTTGTACCCCAACACAATCAATCTAACTCATTCCGCTGTTTTTCACTTACTGAGAGCGGGAACAATAGTGCACGCGCTAAGCAGGGGTGCGAAGGAAAAGGAATTCTCGTTACAGGTGCATTCGACCTAGAAACTAGCATGAGCCTTAGGCGTAATCCTTAGGCGATTCGCCTTAGGCCTAAACATAGTGCTCAACTGATTGCAGCCTCTAGTACAAGCCTCTATAACAGAAAATATACTCCTGGCTGGATTGCATTCTGTGTTTCCTATCTATGCAAAAAAGAGCATAAGGGCGAGGAGGGAGATGATCCCATTCATTATGCGGGAGGGTGTTGCAATGAAACCTGTCATAAAAGAAACAAATAAAAAACGCAATGGAGATAATTAAGGGCTCAACTCCAGGCAATAACTAACACCCTTCCC